AGGGGAATCTCTGTTCTGGCCCCTGAAGCACCTCTTCCCTCCTGCACTGACCTTGGTATTTGCAGAGCTGTTTCTCTCACATACTCTCACTCCTCTCATGTGCAGTAACTTTTCCCCTTTCTTAACTTTGTTTTCTCAGAGGCACTACCACTGTCACTGATGGGCTCAGCCTTGGCCAGCAGCAGGTCTGTCTTGGAGCTGGTTGGCATTGACTCTGTCAGGCACAGGGGAAACTTCTAGCAGAAGCCACACCTGCAGCCTCCCACCCCGACCAGGAAAACCTTGCCATATAAATGCAATACAATAGTACCAGGGAGAAAATGAGGTGAAAAAGCTCATGGTTCAAGATAAAGACAGGGAGATCACTCACCAGTTAAAAGCACAGACAAAATGGATTTGAGTGAGCGGCAATTAATTGAATTTATTGTTAAATAGAAGTGGATGGTGAAACAGAAAGAAGTAACACAACACCTCCCCCTTTCGTTTTCACAGGCTCAACTTCACTTTTTATTTGTGACTCCTCTACCTCCTGCACCCCAGGCACTGCAAGGAGATGGGCAATGGGGTTGTGGTCAGTCCATAATGGCTCCAGCATGGGTTCTTCCCATGAGCTACAGTTGTTCAGGATAAACTTGCTCCAGCATAGGGTCTTCAGCAGGCTTCAGTGTGGATATCTGCTCTACCATGCTCTTTCCTGGGGCTGCAGGGGGTCTCTGCTCTGGTGCCTGGAGCACCTCCTCACCTTGCTCCTTCTCTCATCTTGGTGCTTGCAGGGCTGTTTCTGTCATGTTTTTCTCATTCTTGTCTCTTGGGTTTTGATAAACATCGTTATTTTTTCCCTTCCTCCCCCAGGCTTTCCCCAGGTGCCGCCGTTGTGCCTGTGGGGCTCAGCCATGCCCTGTGGTGGGTCCATTGGATCTGGCTGGAAACGGCTGTGTCTGGCACAGGGCAGCCCTGGCTGCTCCTCACAGAGGCTGGTGCAGCCCTCCCACTGCCAATGTAAACCCAATACACTAGTTCAGACATAAAGGAAAGAATAAAATAAATTCAGATTCAGTTTACTCTTGCAAGATACAATTTTGCTGCTACATGTTCAGGAAAGTACATGCACACGTGTTCAGAATCTGATTTTTTCAATTAATTTCAGCTACTCAGAAAGTCCACTGAATTTCAATTTATGCTGCACCGTGCAGAAGGTAGAGTGCTTTGTTGGATTATGTCTTCATATCCATTTCTGTGAAGTGTTAGACTACGGTGAGATATATTAATGACTGAGTAATAGTGAATGAGCAAAGGAACAGGAGGAGGGAAGGAGAGCAAGCAAGCTGAGAAACGATTAAGCATAGTGCCATAAAAATGGGCAAAAAGACAGTTGCTTAGTATAGACAGAGAAGAAGCATTTCTTTATTTTATTATAGATGGCTTGATCTGTCTTTTTTCCATCTCTAATCTTTTTTAAATTCTATGTAGGTGTTCATGAATATTCCACTCATTTTGCAGTAGTTTATAAATTTAACTTACAATTCATGACTCCTCAGAGTAAGCAGGAAGTTACGGATAGAAAATCCAGATTGAATTTTAGGAAATGGCAGTGTATTTTGGAGTGGGGAAAAAACAAATTTCTTGGCTGACATTTTACTTTTAAATTAACAAATGTTTTGTCAATGAGCATTCTGTTTTTATAGAGAAAGTACATGAATACAACTCACTTAAGATAGTGTTCTGCATGTTATCTTGATTTACTAACACTACTTCATCTCTTACTTGCTTTTCTAGATCGATTTGCAGTATTAGCAAACAATAATCTCCAAATTCTTAACATCAATAAAAGTGATGAAGGAGTATACAGATGTGAAGGAAGAGTGGAAGCAAGAGGAGAAATTGACTTTCGGGACATAATTGTTGTTGTGAATGGTAAGCAGTAAAAGTTGTCAAATTGACTTCTTGCTTTACTTGATTATCACAGCCTATTTTAAATATATGTCAGCTTCTAAAATATCCTGATTAAACTGGGTAATATAGTTGTCATGTCTGCTTAGTAGTGTTTTCCTATAAATGTAATTCTTAATATTTTTAAAATACACTGTGTAAATAGAATTCATTGCATTTCATTATATTGTTGTATATAAATATGTAAAACCTGGTTTATTGTTTTTAATCATTTACAGAACATTGACAATGTCTGCAAGACTGAGTTTCAGATTATAATATATATTAGTTCAGTTCACTCTAGCTGCACTTGTTATTATCTGTGGTGAAGACTGGGCTGCTGTACTTGCCCCTAGTGTCTCTCCTGTTGTTAAAAGTGTTTCATTGTTGGCCCACAGAACCACAAATCAGTTCTGCAAGGCCAATGACGAAAGACTGCTACATACTGTCACCTGTTCTAAAAGCACTAACACCATTACATAGTTGTATGTCAGATTTATAATTGAATGAAAGACAAAAAAGACTAGAGATAAATTTTCGTTTGAGCTAGATAGATCAGTGGCCATCATAACTTTATCATGTCTTCTACATGTTATGTTTAGGCATACAGAACTTTAAAATGTTCTGTAAAAATATTGAAAAACCACTTAAAAAGACTTTAAAAAATTATAGTGAAAAAAGTACGTCCTGATAACGATTAAAAATCTTGAGTTTAAGAAAAGTAAAGAAATACTAGTAACAGCGTTTCATATTGTAACTTGATTCCTAAGTGTAATCGTAAGTTCCAAAATTAGCAAAGGATCCTGTCCTATGATTTAGATTTTTCTCGATACACATACAATAATTTACTTTCCATTAATAGGACATAATGTTTTATTTTTCAGTTCCTCCTGCAATTACTCAGCTGCAGAAATCTTTTAATGCCACTGCAGATCGAGGAGAGGCAATAACTTTGTTCTGCAGAGCCATTGGATCACCTCCACCTGAAATCAGTTGGTATAGGTAAGTTTAGTTGAGGTCTGCACATCAGAGCACATTGTTTTAATGCATCATGATTTTCTATCATGGTCCATTAAGCTGTGCAACCTTAATTTATTTGCTGAATTTTAAGAGCATTTGTGTCCATTTCTGTTCTCACTTCTAAAGCTGGATTCAGCATTAGTAAGTGAATGAACTCAGACAAATTCAATTGCACTCAGGTTACCAGCAAGTGAGATAAATGTAAGAAGTAACTGAAATAGTATATTGACATGATTTCTTCATATCTGAGTGGAAACAAATAAAGCTGAAGCAATGAGTCTGTATCTCAAAAACAATACAAACAAAAATCTCACAACTTCTGCACATGAGTGCATCAGGTAAAAACATATGCAGCTATGCAATAGATATCCAGTACAGATCAGCCGTACTGATAACAAAGATAACATTTTCCCCATCTGTAAAAATAGATTCTAACCCTAACTCTCTGTTTCAATGAGATTCATAAGGAGATATTGCTTTAGACACCCACAGGATATGGAAATGTTTCACTGAATGAGTTTCAAGGGTGGTTTATGTAAGTTTGAAAATGTAGTATGTTTTGAAAATGGAACCAGATTTAAAGCTCATGTGTGGATTTTGACGATATCAGTGACATGAAGATAATATAGCTTTGTCATTTGGGAACACTTACAATATAACATATGTAAAAAATTAAATATCCATACACTCTATGTTCTTTCAATTTTAACAAAGATATATGTATTACTCGTTGGATATAAAGTATCTCAGATACCTCACACCAGTGCACATTTCTATTTTAGACCTGAATAATTTGCATCTACTTACATTATTTCAGGTGGATTAAAAGTTCACTACATTTTCATAGAAGGACATAGAAGGGATTTCCATCAATTCTTAATCTCTTTTGGAATCTTTAAACAATTTTGGATTCGTTTTGAATATTAACTTCCTTTGACTGATATCTACATCTTAACGTGCCAAAAGTCATACGTGGTTTTAAATTTTTCCCTTGCACAATTTGAATCTCAGGAAATATAAATAAATAGAATGCAAAGTTAATTCCATCACATGGCTTAGAATTAAAAATCTAGTGAAGAAAAGGAAAAAGAAAAACAAAACATGCAGAGCCCAGATTAAAGAACTGATAGTGAATTCAAATGAAGATTGAATATTCTGATAATTTAATGTCTTTAAAGTAATTTTTTATGATGTCTGCCTTATCCAGCAAAATTCTGAAGAGTTGTCTGAAATCGTGTATCCTAAATGGCCTTGTTGCAAGATGTAAGACAGCCAACATTAATGTTTTATACTGTTAAGAAAGAATGCATAGATTTCCATAGCTTGTGAATATCTCTGTTTACAGTTGTGGGTGTCTGTCAATATTTTATAAATATTACAGTATGTACACAGGCTAAATGTCTTGGAGAGGCACATACTTCTGTGTCTATTGAACAGTCTACTGAAGGATTTTCTTTTGGTTTGCCAGCCCCTGAGGCAGCTGACTTTTTTAAACCATTCATTAAGTATCTTTTGTAAAGATTTTACAAAAGCTTAACAGGCTTGTGTACTGGTTACTGAATCTTAAATGTGGAAGTTTCTGTTCTGCTGCTGTTTCAGGAGCTATCTCATAGTGAGGAATATTGGCTTATGTACCTTCCTTCCCTGTTGGTGCTTTTTTGTTTATTTTATTTGTTTTATTGGAGTTTTTTTCCCCTTTCATTCTGTTTTTATTTTGTCTTATTAGGCTATCAGTTCTTGGCAGTAGAAAATATTCTTGCTTTTTTATTTGCTGACAGTGAGATATTGTAAAGTGGTGGCTTCTGGTGTCTATGACAGGATATTATTATTGATATGCAAATAAGGAGAAAAAGATGGGAGGAGCTATATTATTTTTTCTAGAGGAATCAAACTTTATTCTACATTGTACTCCAGTACTAAATTTCTGCATCAAATTTCTGAGCTCTCTGTCCTGAACTGTTCAGGTCCCTTTTCACTCACATACAGGTAGCTGGTTAAAAGAATCAGTTGATATCTTCTTCTTGCCCTTCAACTTATTTTGCAGATATGTCAAGATAAAGACTTTAGTTTTCTAGGATATTTTAGATGCTTTTTCTTTAGAAATTAGGCTGAGCATAGAAAAACTAGATGAATGTAATCTTTCTTGATCTTGAGAAAAATCTAGAAAGCATCAGTGGTAGGAAAGTCTGTCAGAACTGATTTATCTAATATTAATATTCTTGTCATACATTGAGAACCTAATTGAATCCATTTATCACTATTAATGGCCAACTTGTCATAGTCCAAATTTCCTTATTTAGTGTACTTTTTGATATTGAATGTAAGTTAACCTCAAATTTATGTGATTATTTTTTAACAAACAAGTGGAATTACATCCAGTGAACTAATTTAACAGGTTAACTTCAGCTAGGGCATGAAAAAATAGCTGTATTTTTAAAATCAAATTACAGTATTATTCAGTTGGCTTATATATATCCCTCTGTGTTGACTGCAAGCAAAATGCTGGACAAAACAGTAGTTTCAAACTTTAAGTTCTTTAAGACAGTAGCTTATGTGGAAAAGCTTTAACTATCTGCATCTACTCTTTTCATTTCCAGGTGATAACAACGTTTAGGATTTTGTAAATTTAAAATGGAGGCAGCTTAACTAATGTGTCAATCTACCTTTAAAAAAAAAAAAAAAAAGCATTACTTCACTTGCAAACTAGTCAGTGTGAAATACCTAGTCAAGAAGAAAGGTCAGCAAGGTTTAGTTGCTGCTCTACTTAGTATGCATATTTACTTTGTTGATATTTCATGGACTGAGAGAATCTAATTCTTTCACCACTTAACTGATACCTTTATTGAAGCTGATTACATTAGTGTAAAGCATACACTCTGAAGGGAAGCAATACACTAATAGAATTAAATTAGCCAGGACTGAAAGATAAAGATACAAAGATACAGGTCATGAACTAGAAATCTTTACTCATGTGTATAGTCTTGCTGAAAAATGATGATTGTTTATGTTTGTGGAGCTAATTTACACTAGTAAAGTTTAGCTGTATCAATCTCCTTATCTTTACTGACAGGACTTAGAATTATCTGAGAAAAGAAATAATCCACTTTTAATTTGTTATTCATGCTTTCCTGTTCTCCAATATCAGCATCAATCTGAATCTCTCCTGTTCGCTAGAGGGTCCAGGGAAATGCTCATAATCTCATTTCTGCTTAGAAATTGTCATAGATATAGGCGATGCTTGTAATAAGAGGCTTTTGGAAACTACTTCTGACCTTGATTATAGACTTCCATCTCTTAACACAAATCACTAGTTTTTTTTGGTGAAACCAACTATGTGGAAAATTAGATCTTTTCTGTTCTGCAAAACAATTCCTATGATTTGCTTTGGAAAGGAGATGATCAAGTATCACAATAATGTCTTGAAGTAGACAGCTAAATGGACTAGATATTTACAAAAATGTTGCTAAAATGTAAGCTTTATAGATGCCAGGGGAATCCTATTAACAGATACTAATGTTCCCAGGAAAGAAGCAGTATTTTCTTTTAGGGAAAATATGATTTTATAAAATATGAAATTTCTGTAGTTATCAGCATTATATGGGAAGAACATGAAAATCATTGTTGGTCTAATCTTGAAATAAAACTGTATGGTCTAAACTAGGCATATTGAATGGAACAGTATTTCAGTAATGGATATTGGTTTCATTTTATAAATAGTTAAATAGTTTGTTTTCAAGAAGTTGGAATTGTCAGCAGGATTATCAGCGTTTATGAAAATCAGGCAATTTTATATGTTAGGTACTTGTGAGAAAGGGATGTTGATTCAACCAAACTAAGATCAAAAGAAGCCTGCAGCAAACTAGGCAGAATGAGAAGAAATTAAAAAAGTTAAAATTGCGCTCTTGAAAAGGGAGTTGTTTTGATAACTGTGAGTATGCCACTGTGCTCAAATGGACCAGTCAAGCCTTGATCAGCCCTCGGAGTTGTTCACAGGTTTTATTATTTTGGTACCATCTGGTCACAACTCATTCTAACGTTTGGAGACATGCCTGCTTACTAAGTTGTGACTAGTCAACAAGAACTGAAAGGAATAATTTGGAAAGGTTTCATGTGCCAATAGTCTCTACTTGTATGAGATTTAAAATATTTTTCCTAAATTGGTACATTGTTACTAATGTGAACTGCAATAGTTACACTTAGTTAATACGCTTTTAAATGTTCCTCACATGCATGTATGTCTAACCAATTTCCTTGTGTCCTTCTTTGAGTGTAAGCTGTATGTACTATTCACAAGCATTTTTCTAACATTAAGTCAATATTGAACATTAAAGATACAGTATTTTCAGTATGTGTGTATTTTTAGAACCTGACAATAAAATTGTGAAGCTCGGATCTTGAACATAAAAGTGCAGTTCAGAATGCTTTGTTTGTGTATAGAATGTGCACATCCTTATGAAAAAAACACTCTCATCCTGCAGAAGATTATTTGCTGTGCTAAAATCAACTTCCTTCTATATATACTGCCAATTTATACGTGTGAGGTATGCATTTTTGAGCATAATAGCAGTCTTTTCCCTCAAAAATTATTTTCAACATATTGATGCTTCCATAGCACATTGTTTCAGAGTTTGGAACCTAGTGGTTGATTTTTACATTGTTCTTATCTTTTTAGGAATGGTAAACTTATAGAAGAAAATGAAAAATATATACTGAGAGGAAGCAATATGGAACTAACAATAAGAGATATAAAGAATATTGATGCAGGTCCTTATATCTGTAATGCTAAAAACAAAGCAGGAAATGATAGAAAACAGACATTCCTTCAAGTTTTTGGTAAGTATTGCATAGTACATTCCATTCTTTTTAAATGTAATATTAGGGAGCTGAGTTGATAATCCACAATTTTCAGTGGAACAGTATTCATGCAAGGTTTCTACTAATGCATCAGACCACTCTGTATAAGTTTACAGCTTTTTCTCCCCTATTGGCTACTTCAACCTTTACACCCAAATTTAATTTTTAAAAGGCTATCTTCATCATTTGCTTTTTTACTATTCAGATAACACAGTGGAGCGTTAAATTGATAATTCACTCTGGTTTTAGTTTGAAAGTTGGCTGCTTGCAAGAAAAACGAGGAGAAAGAAGGGCTGATTCTGAAAGGGGGAAAAAAGCATGTTATTTGAACTTCTAAGCAGTGTACTATTCTTTTGTAAGAAGACATCATGTAGAGGTGTTCCTGGTTTTGCAATTTGTTTTTCTTTCTGGATTTTTATTTAAGTGCATGATTGCAGATGCAGTAACAAAAATATTACCGGATCCAAGTTTCAAAGCATAAAAGTAGTAACATGAAAACTGCCAAGAGATGCCCAGCCAGCTCCTGAGCAATGGACCCCAGACAGCTTTCCCCCTAGTTTATATACTGAGCATGACGTTACATGGTCTGGAATATCCCTTGGGTCATTTGGTTCAGCTGTCACAGCTGTGTCCCCTCCCAGCTTCTTTTGCCCCCAAAGCCTACTAGCCGGTGAGGTGGTGTGAGAAGCAGAAAAGTCCTTAACTTAGTGTAAACACTGCTTAGCAACGACTAAAACATAAGTGTGGTATCAACGTTATCCAAAACAGCACCGTTCCAGCTACTAAGAAGAAAATTAACTCTATCCCAGATGAAACAGAGACATCTCAGGGAATAATATAATAAATTAATCCTATTACCTTCTCTGTAATCTCTAAAGCTAAGTCTATTTTTAGTTTAATACTGCATTTACCAGGTTCACCTCTACTTTAACTCTGAAAATGTAGAGTGGAATTGTATTTTCTCCTACAAAGAAGATTACTTTTTCTTTTGTCTGTTTCACATAGGTTAAACTCAAAGTCATATATACAGCCAACAACTTCTCATACTTTTCTTCCCCTTAAATGTATTCAAAAAACTGCAGTCTGAAAATAGCAAGGCAGATGGCTGATTATTACAGCTAAATAGTTCATAAACAGCCATTTTGTGTTAAAAGGACTTATTCAATTACATTATTCTTTCCCACTCCATCGGCTTGCTTGTCTCACATACCTGCTATCTTTAATTTAATTTACAATGCAGACTCCTTGGGCAACAGCTATTGTTTCTGTTACGACAGGGCTCTGGCAGGATTGAAAATTGTAATAACAGTAATGTAACCATAATGCAATAAAAATAACAATAAAATTAGAGCATTCAGCATTTAAAATTTTAGTATTCTGCACTTTTGAATGGACATGCCCATTTTAGTGCCATCTAGCAGCTGCATATGTTTAGCTTCCATGCATGACCTAGATTTTTTGTTAAACAACTTTGTTTCCAGTATCAGTGTTAAAAAAGCTATTTTGTTCTGATACAAATTCTTACTCTGACAGTTTTTCTGCAACACTAACATGTGTATAGAAACCTATAGGCACACATTCTACTCTCCCAAATTCTTCATCTTTCTTAGTGCTTTTTGTGTGTTCTACCGAATAAGACATGGAAGAGTAAAGAAAGCCCTGTTTCCCTCAGGATTTCTTACTGATCATGATTTGCTCATCTATCTGTCATCCTGTTGCATACTACAGTTCTCTCTGTGTCATTATCCATTACTACCTAAATCATCTCATCTATGTTAATGCTTAGGACTTGTACTAAGGTTTTTGATATAAATTCATGTATGTTTAGTCCTTCTGAATGGCTTGAAACCATAGGTGTTCTTCCTTGAATTCTTTAAATATATTTTTTGTATTTGTCTCTGCTTCGTAGCTAACTTTTTATATCTCTTTTCACCACTCATACTGTTTAGTTTCATTGTTTTCTTTGGTTTGTTTTGCTATGTAATTAGTCATATATATATATACATACACACATGTATGTGTTTAGATACATGTGCATCAGCATTTTTAATTATGAAATGCCACATTTTAACAGCTTTTGGCATCCCAATAAAAATTTTCCAAGTACCATAATAACAAGCAGTTGATTTAAGACCAGTCAAGAAGATCTGATACGTTAAAAGCATTCTTACATCTTCTTACTTTCTCAGAAGTAAACATTTATTTCATCCTTCTCCAGAGTGATGGCAGTGGTGTTCATTTACTTAATATTAAAAAAATCTAATCAGGCTAAATGAAACAAGATTAGCTCTAGTTAAAGACATATTTAAGCTTTATAAGAATAGTGCTTATAATCTGAGCATAGTTTTATGTCTTCTTTTTTTTGTTCTTTTAACTGCTCATTTCCTCTCCTTAATCACTGAAATGCTTGGTTCTACCATTTGATAATGCATAAACAATGAGGTTTTCAGTAAGATTTTTCTCTTCTGTACCTATGCTATAGAAAGAGACATTCCTATGTCTAATAATTTCTATTTCTAGAAAGAGAAAAAGTATTTTTTTATTTTATCGGATTTGTTGAAAAGAATGCAACGCGTTGTAGCATAAGTTAATTTGAAGTTCTGTAGGCTGTATTTTTCCTACATAATCAATGAGAGGGTACTCCAAACTTACCTAAACATTTCACTGGCATTTCAGTAGTTTCTGACAATTGATTTCATGAAAGTCAAATGAGGGAAGAATACCTCAAGAAGCATTACAAAAGACCCTTTATTGCATAGCTTGAGCACATAGTATTTTTATTTTCTAGATGTCTTTTTAAGAATAACCTGAATCTTGTTTAGCAGGAAGGTTTTTGCAGATGTGTTCAATGTAAATTTTATTGAGAAAAGTAAATGCTATTATTAATTTATTATGTGTCATCAGGCAGATGAGGGGAAATGTACCGGACCTCTCCTGTCTTATCAGTCTTATATGTGTTTCAAATGTTAAAATTCAAGACATTTAAGCCTTCAAAAGCCATGCGTCTTGTAACCAAAAAGGCTGCAGTGAGTCTACAATGAGATTGGGGTGAGAGATCGCCTAAGTTTTTCCTTTTTTTCCAGCCTGAATGACTGCATTCCTTTTACACTTACAGAGCCTGGAGCACACCTAATTAGGTGGTCGTTGTTTGAAGGGGTTTTGTGTTTTGTTTTTGTTTTCCTTGATACTATTCAGTACATACATGGAAGCTCTTCATTTAAATTCACTGATAACTGTAGGAAGGGAATTCCATGGATCTGTGCATGGAACTATCTGTTCCTGCTCATCCCTGATATTATGAAGTATACCAAATGCATCTTTATAAAGTACAATGCATTAGTTAGTGTCAAAAGTTCATTCATTTTCTATGTTACTTCTTCCTCTCTGTTACGTCCTTACCTGTTTGGAACTCCTCTACTTTTTAAAATAAAAATGATGCAATCTATAAAGGCAATGATGCAACTTCAATCATAAGGCAAGTCTTAAATCCCTTTGAGTGTGAAGTAGTAATAGGATTTTAACATGTACAAAGACTCAGGTTTATCGTGCACTTAATCACTTCATACTGGTGACATAATAAATCCTTATTATGTCAGGAATCAAGGTGCAGGAATCTGTTTCTTAGATAATTCCCTTGTTGGGCTCTAGCTTGTTTACTAAGTTCAAGTTGTAGCAGCAGTTTCCAGCAGGACATGGTTTCAATTTTGCTACCTGATTCAAAGGTGGCTGTGCAGGAAGATGGTGTAAGAGCATGATTCCTCATGTTATCATATCAATCAAGAGATCCTATCAGGCAGCAACACAGACATATACTAAGCCTCTCAACAGTAAATCCATCTTTGTATTAACAAAGCTGTTTCAAGCAGTTCTTTTAATGAAATATGATTGGAACTATGTAAGTTTTATGTATGTGCTGCTTCTGATGAAACCATATCCGTTTGATTAAACCTTTTTGTCAAAGATATGGGTAGAACTTTGTGAATTCAATAAATTGTGAGCCTTTTCCAAGAAATCAGTTGTAAGCAAGCAATAACAAATCTAGAACCTCGGATTGCCATCCATGTTCTTCTTAAGCTTTCTGGGGAGGCTGTAGGTACACAGCAATGAGCTTAGCCCTTGTCTGAGAGAAATCCAGAAGAGACCAAGGAAGGAATCTGAAATGAATTTGCTTATTGAAGAAGTGTTAGAGAACTTAACACCAAGCTTCTCTGCTCAGAGGGCAAACTTTCTAACCAGTAAATATTATTTATTTAGCAGCATCACTTTGTTAATATTTTAAAAAATGCATGTCTAGTAAGAAGCAGTTCCTTACCTTCTAAATAAAATAGTTTTAATGAAGCTTCAGCATAACTCCTTTCTATATTCAAGCTCTCTTTCATTTCAGTCAGTTCATTCAGTTTAAAATTTCTAAGTACATTGTAATACAAATATTCTTGACTGAAGAAACCAGCAAATTCCTTGAGGCTTCCTGGAGTTACACTCCAAGACTCTGTATTTAATTTGATTTACTAGAGTACGGCAAGCAAATACCAATTCAATTTGAAAATGACCTTGTCAATTTAAAAAGAACAGTTAAAGAATTGGGGATGGGGCAGCAAAAAACTGTTACAGTATTTCTTTCAGTAGTATCTTGGCATTCTCAAATAAATATCTTTATTTACATGTACACAAAAGTATTCTGATATTTTCCAGTGTCCAAAATGTCATAAAAAGTATCAGTGTAAAAACTTCTAATCGAGCAACTTACGACTTCTGACATACGAAAATGAGGCAACTAAATAATATCCCCCGTATGAGCACTCTTCTTAATAATAACTGTCATCTAGATATATTTGATGATTAATCAGTGCTTATTCCTTTAAATGTCAGCTGCTCATGTCTAAAATGTGAAGCTAAACCTTTTTGTCTTGTAGTGATCCATTTGAAGGCCTTAAAGTAATTTAGAATATAAGTCTAAAATTAAAAATTGAAGAGCATTAGTTACATGTTTTAGGACATGCCTCATCTTGAGCAGATCATATTATTTGTCATCTTGTGCAGATGGGGAAATCCTCTCGTTCTGATGGAAATAATGTAATTCAAAATTTTGCAAATTTTTGACATAAAATATTATGGATGATGCTTTTTTTTGATGAGTGGTATATCTGCAATAGCTCTTTCCTTGTTTCCAGGAATGATACTATATCAATAGTGACAAAGGAAAGAACAGATTGTAATGTAGCCAGGAGACATGGCTGTAGAAATAGAGTACCTGTGTACCAAGGTAATATATTTCGTATGCATTTGGGTGATCCTGAAAGTGTGAGTAATAACTGAAGTTATCTTGAAGTTTAACGTAGGTTGATGTAGTTATCCTTTACCTTGAATTCTTTTTTTGTAGTTCTTTTAAGTGACAGCCCTTGTTATACTATATCACTGAGGAGAATTTCAGCTTTTCTCAGCCAAATTGATGTCCCTCTGTAATGCTTTGCTTACTACCTTCTAGCGCATCTAATAAAGCTGGATCCAGTTGACATTTCAAGAGTCCCTGATCACACAGGGTATTTTTGTTCTGCATGTGATGTCACTCACCATAGATTGTACCTTGATGAAGCAGGATATTAGTTCAGTGCTTGGTTAGGCAAAATATTACTTGTTTTTTATCTCTGCAGTAAACAATAGATTATTTGTACTAGTCAAGGGTGAACAGACAATAGGTAAGCAACAGGAGCGTGGAGATAAGGAAAGAGAAGTAAGGCCAAGAATGGTGTGATGGAAATGGATAAAAGAGAGGCGGGAGATATATCTGGTTATAGCAGGTTTGAACCTGGTTTTATTATTTTTCTTGGTGATGCTGAATGGAGCATCTGTGAAACAGAAGTCATAAATGAAATAGTTATCATAAAATGAAACAGGAGGCTAGACATAGGAAACCATTCTTCACCATGAGCACAGCTAGGTACTGCAACAGTTTGGTGTGAAAGGCTCTTCAGTCTCTGTTCTTGGCATTTTTCAGATAGTGTTAAACAAATCCCTGAGAAATCTGATCTGAACAGGGTCTGCTGACCTTGTATGGATGAGGAGGTTGGCCAAGATGAGCTCCTAGAATCCCTTCCAATCTAAATTATTCTCTTCCCCACTTGGATCCACTAACATAAGCCAATATTACTCTTCTGCATAGCATATACTTCAGTAATCCCATTAAAAAATGGGATACTTCTCTCTTTATTTTCTGCTTCATATAGAATATACTACAGTAGTTCTTCCTCAAAAGCAAAACTTGGGAAAACTACATAGATAATACATTATTTTCAATAGATATTAAGAGCTGCCAAAATTTAATTCACTCATGTAAACTTAATTCACTGGTTTTGTGTGTAAATATGTTGAATCATATTCTTATTACACAATTACAAGCTAGGTTTTCAAGTGGTGTGTCTCATTTAATGTGTAAAATGGATAGATTCAGAGAAACTTCTTAATAGTTATATGTGAGTGAATTTATAGGACTAAAACATTTATTAAGATACTTGAACATCATTGAAGAAAGTAATATTCTATGCATAGTTGTACAAGAGAGTTTGTATATGGTATTGTACAGATAAGTCCTCTAAATAAAAGTGTTCACCTCTAAGCAGAAATTTACTTGCATATGTAAATAACCTGACAAGATACAGTATAGATTGAGAGCTGTAGTTGCTGTGAACTTGTGGCTATAAAGTGGAATGATTTGAAGAATGCGAACAGTATCTGGAATTTTTAAAATGTATCTTACTGCCAGTTTACTTGGTAAGTAAGGATTAATAACTTTATATCAGAGGGCTCTTCAGTTCTTAATAGTGTTAATACAGAACAGTATGTTTGTGATCTGGGGATTTTGTTAAATTTAGTAATTTGTGTAAGACAGTTAGACATTCCCAAAGATCAAAATCCAAGAATATTATTAATTCTGCTTTTTTTCCCCCCGATAATTTGTATTTGAAGACAAACACAGATTATCATAGAATCACGGAGTGCCAAAGCTGTTTACCAGCCAGTCAGCACACAGCCTGTACTGGTGGATGGAGTTATTCCTGTCCAGGTGCAGGACCACTGTTGTATGGTTGAATCTCTGCATCATTTCCAGAGTGCCAGAAATTAGTGAAGGCTTGCTGGTCCCTAAGGGACAGTGAGCCAGGAACAAAGCACACAAACACAGCCACCAGGGCAGGGGCCTCATCAGCCAGGACCTATCCCACGCTACCCCAGCAAAGGAGCAGGCAGTCCTGGGTGTGTCAGCCATACTGAGCCAGGAGTCCAGTTCATCAGACATACAGAAATGGTTGTTGTCCAACTTGAAGTCTGGAAAGTTGATTGCTTTTATAGATGGTAACATTAAACCAAACAGACAAAAGTAAGTAAAAAAAAAAAAAGAGAAGTGGTTTAAAAGATAGATTTTGACATGACTTTCTTTGTGCAGTATGAGTAATGTAATCTGTATTTTTAACAGTACAGCCTCAAATAATACAACTTAAAAATGAAACCACGTTTGAGAATGGGAAAGCTACTCTCATCTGTGAAGCAGAAGGAGAACCTACCCCAGAGATTACTTGGAAAAGGGCCATTGATGGAGTAACTTTCTCTGAAGGGGACAAGGTAAATTTGCCTTTAACGTCTAAAATATCGAAGTGTGTATTCTCTGGCTAATCATCTTTTTGTAAGCAGGAAATTAATTTAGAGATAGATTAATTCTAGGTTCCTCTGGAATTGAAAGGAATTGCTATTTTCCAAGGTAGTAAGAGAGATTCTAAATTTTAAATTTAAAAAAGAACAACAAAGAAAAAAGCCATTAAAGTGCTAAAAGATAATTCATCTCATCAGGCCTAAGTTTTCATATATAATTCCTATTAAGGGTTTCGGCTTTTATCTTGATCATAATGGTTACCCATATCTGTTCCTGACTATTTTTGGACTCTGTCCATCATTTCTCATAAATGTGGTTGAACATACAGAAATCTGAAATAAAAAGTTCTGAATGCTTTGGAGTTCTTCATTTCCTGCTTCTGATGTTTGGGTTTTTTTGCTATTTTTCTCTTTTATTTTTCCTCACACAGAACAAGTAGTCTATAACTGAAAACTGAGCCTATTTTCCCATTCTGTTTTCACATTTCACATTTTCTTACAGAAGCAAGTTGAGAAAGATTATGATATGAAAATGAGAAACTTGTGGGGTCAAGAACTGTTATTAGATGGAATAGTGAAAGCAAAATGGCCCGGTGAAGTTTAATTCTTAACCATGCAGTTTCTACAGAGCTCTTTTTCCCTTTTTAAAATAATTTTCTTTTAGCATTTGAACAAGTTTTGTTGGTTTTTTTTGTTTGTTTGTTTTTAAGTTTCCTTATATGAACTACAGAATTTCTCTGTGCTGATTAAATTATGAGATACCATCTTTCTGGCTAGCTGATTCAGAATTTTTACTCCAGTTAATCAATTAGCAAAACAGTGTCTTCTTGCAGATGTTTGCATATTCGTAGCTGTTGCTTAAAAAGCAATTGACAGACCTATACAGCAATCATCCCACTGAGGGAACATGACACACAGTAAGTCCCTCAGTTTATAGGGAAGTGCTGTATATTAAGGAATTATGTGCTGCCATTGTTTGTATTCTGAAGGAGAATGTCTGGTCTGGTCCAGTCTCTGACTTGACCTTTCCTGGAATTGAGGCAGTGTATGTGAGGTTTTGTCTCTGCTTGCCCACTCTGTGTTTTCCATTTTGGAACAACATGACAGTATAATTTATTTTTTTTCCCCTAATAGTTTTGCATGAAAATAAATCAGATTCTCTTCTCCTTAATTACTTAAAGTCAAAGGTTATCTTTCTGCTCGCAAAGACTACACTTGATTCAAAGGTTACAAAGGTAGCCTTTCACTTATGTTTGAAATGTTCCTAAATAACTTTGTTGTGTCAGAAATCGAAAATGAAAGCAAATCATAGAAACCAAAAAATGTCGGTGCAGTTGAAACCTGAAATTAATCTAGTGCTTAAAAAGGACAATATTACATTCTTAATTCAAACTGCAGGTGGTTAAACTGTCTAGATGTCTTACTGTAGCATTCTGTGAACTGTGGTGTAACTGAATAATCCTGACAAGCAAACTAAAACCTATATTCACTTTCTACTAGTATGCTGACATATTGTATGTGGAGGACAAAAAGAATGAGAATAAATGCAGTTATACGGTTTCCTTTTGTTCTTGCCAGTGAAAGAACTCTGTATTGCTCCTGGGAGAGCTTTGGCTGAATAGTGAATAAATGTTCTGAAAAGCTATGTATGTTCTTGAGCTAAAAAATATGATGCTGCGTTTGCCCTGTTGTCCTTCAGCTCTATGGTGCCAAAGCCTTGGCTTGTGCTTTCCTATCAAATTAGGTGAATAGAGAATAAAATTGGCGGTAATTAAATTATTGAATAATTGTGGAATAATACAGCAATGTTTTGCACACAGAAAAAGAAGGAAAAGGTGGATTCAAGAAAATGGAGGTGGTTGTAACATAATCTGAAATTGAAATTGTTACTTACATGGCTTTTTAAGTCATGACTATCACCAAACGTACTTGCATAAACATAAAAATTATCATCTATATTCAATGAATTCGCTTTTTGAATTTTTTACTAGTTTTAAACCAACTTTTGGTACAGACTGCACTTCACAGTGAGGGTGGTGAGGCACTGGAATAGGTTGCCCAAGGAAGTTGTGAATGCTCCAACCCTGGAGGTGTTCAAGGCCAGATTAAACAGAGCCTTGGGTGACATAGTTTAGTGTGTGGTGTCCCTGCTCATGGCAGGGGAGCTGGAACTAGATGATCTTAAGGTCCTTTCCAACCCTAAGTATTCTATGATTCTATGATTCTATCCAGCATTTTTATTGAATTAAGAATATCTTTAGGGGATTAATATTTTCTGTAGAAGATGGAAGAACTGTTCTAAGATTAGCATGATGATGTTTAAAAAATGCAGAGTGCTGTTCTTAATTTTTAATGATACTTTTATTACTTTTAGTGTGTAGTTCCTCTATCATGTCGTTCGTATTATGCTAAAATGCAAGCATACCTCATGTGAATAAGGAAAAAGGCTGAACGTGAGATCACATTTAGCCTGTGTAGATTCAAAATGTTTTCTTTTAAATGATTGATAGATCTTATAATGAGGACATAGGCTTTCCTGAGTTTTGAAATTATTATGTCCAAAAGAATGGAAAATACTCACCAAAGTCATAGATCAAAGAAATAACACTGCTGGGCTTAAGGATGATAAATAGTTAATGAGTAAGAGGTCTATAATTATCTCAGGAAAATATAGCTTTGAGAAAGGATTTTCAGTACCTCAGAAGTGTGTATTAGAAAGTTGAAGCCAAGTGAGTTCAAACTAGAAGCAAAGAAGCCTTCTTGTCTCTCCTTTTATCAGTTAGCCTTTAGAACAATCTTCCACATGGTGTGTGGTCCCTCTTTCACTGAGAATTGGTAAAAAAGGTGTCTTTCCCCTTCCTCTGACCTCTCTTGAAAGTTTAAATGGAAAGTTTTTAAGGTCACTCACATTAGATGACCTATAATCTTTTTATAGCTTCATACCCAATAAATACATGACAGTGGGTAAGCCTGAGTAAATGAATGATTATGCATGACAGAAGGTGTTTGGCTCACCCTTAAAGATTTGAAAATGGAAATGGAGGTTTAGTCCAAGACCAGAGCTTCATCTGCTGTTGAAGCATGAAGCCAAAACTCTGCTTGGTGCACAAACTCTGCCTCTGTGCTTCTACTCCCTGACTCCACAGCAGTGCACTAACGTGCCAACCTGTCCCTGCGTCTTTCATCTGTGATTCAAAATGGTGTGTTCCTACAGACCTGTCTGCATCCAGCAGGCCTGGCCATTTTCCCAGTAAAAACAAGAGGCAGAAGAGCTGCTTTATGTAGAACAGAAGGAAGGATAGTGATTGGATTTGATTTGCCGCAATCTCTTATAAAATGGATTTTGGACATGCACATACATATCAGGAAAGCATATCCTGATGCTCTGACACAAAAATGTCATTCATTCCTCTACAAACTGCAGAAGTATAAGGGCAGAGTTTCCTGCTCTGCTTTCCTAGTATCTATTTCTAGCAGAAATATGAAAGCTGACCAGTGTTTGTAATTACCATTTCAAGCCCTGTTTTGGAATTCAAATGACAGTAACAGATGGGGCTTGATACGAGACAGTAGCTCCACTATATGCAGCATGTGTCCAAAGACGCAATCTACCCTGAAGAATTTATGATCTAAACATGAAAAATGAATGAAAGAATTCAGTGCAGAGAGGTCACAGCCCGGTATCTGATACTCAGTTACTCAGTTTTGATAATGACTCATGTGTGAGGTAACCACTTAACGAAAAATCACATACACCTCCTATCTTTTAACATCCCTCAAAGAAAAAAGAAAAAAAACATTTGAAACTTGGATGTTGGATTTAAGATATTAAATTATATTTAAGATATTAAATAACATTTTGTATGTATTTGATACAGATTCACCAGATGTTTTTTAAATACCTTAAACCATTCTTCTTTTTTCCCGTTTATAATGAAGATTATGGAGATAGCTTGAATTCTGCTTTCTTCCGTTTACCTACAAAAATAATCTGTGTGTCCCTGTGAAATTTTCTGTGGCATTGTTTCTAAATACTGGAGAGCTCAGGTCAATAATTAAATTCTCTTCCAAGTTTGAATTCACTTTATATTGGCATGCCTATCAGAATAATTTTGAGCTTGTAGAATTTTTCATAACTTTTATGATCATGCAATAGTCAAAGAATTTGCTTGGGTTTATCCTTTTCTTGTATAGGTCAACTCTTTTTTTGCCCAAGCTTCTTAACTCCACTTCAGCTATTACAAATGTTAACAACAACAACAACAACAACAAAAATTACTCCTTGTGTATGCTATTGTCACTGCACAAAAAGCAGTGTTACAGTTTTAGCAAATTGTATTGCCTTTCTTTTGAGATAGTAATGAGAGTTCTGTTACATTCTTGCTCCTGAAGGTTCAGGTCTTTATTTGAAATGAATCACCCCAAAAGAAGAAACATAGATGTATCCAGGGTATTTAATTAATCCCAGGAGATTTATTTCTTTTTCTGAGCTGTACAAATCCCAGTCTTTGTAAATTAATCTCAGGAACTTCTCTTTCAATAGCTGGAAAAATGTAAAGGTCAAGGCTCCTTGCCTTATTGAAGAAAATTGTTATAACCTGTGTCACCTAAGTGGTGCATGAACAGCTTCTACTTATAATATCATAGAATATTTTTGCTGTTGTAATGTTAGCACAAGCCTGCAAGCCAGAACAGTTTATGTAGCTAGCGGCAATTGTGTTTGATTATGCAACTGAGACACTGCAATCAGGCATCAAAGATTCTTTATTTTGTTTTTAACCCCCCTATGAGTCATGGTGGGCTGCACATGTTAAGGCTATGAAATAAAAGAGGAGAATATTGTGACTGGAAGGAGAAGGTAAATAAATGGAATTGAGAGTGAGTAGAAAGCAGGAAGGTGCCCTTGAATGTTAGATGATTAGTGCTGTTGACAATATATAGATTTATACCCTGTGACATCTGCAAAACATGGA